AAAAAAAAAAAAAAAAAAAAAGAACAGAGTCTAGGGGTTGACCCCCTAGCCCTGCCTGTTCCTAGCTCTTGGGCAAGTCACTTGATCTCTCTAGACCTCAGCTGCTTTGAATATGAAATGTAGCTAATAGCAATGCTTGCTTCATGGCAGGGCTATGAGGAACACAGGAGAGGAGATACAGGCAAAGCATATGATGCAGTGCAGGGCACGTGGCTGGCAAGCAGTGATAATCATTAGTCCTCCTGTCACAGATTTCTTTTGTGTGTGCGTGTGTGTGTGTGTGTGCGTGTGTGTGTGTGTGTGTTCCTATCAAAAACAGAGTTTCTATGCTGCTTTGCTGAAGGGCTGTAGGGAGGAGCCACTATTCATTCATTCATTCACTCATTCTTCATTCCCCTTCTCCTCACACCAGAGCCAACCATTACAATGAGTTCAATGTGTATCTTTTTATGTTTATGCCAGATATATAGTGTTTATTTTTAGTTTATATAATGCTGTCATGTTACTTGTGTTACTCTGTCCCTTGCTTTTCTTCTCAGTGCAGTATTTATCCATATTGCTAATGGCACATCTAATTTCTTCTGAAAGCTGCATTGAAGTCTATAAGGAATACCTTCCACAGTTTACCTATTGATTTCTTGACTAGTCTCACTCAGGCTGTCCCCAAACCTGCCACCTGCCACACTGAATAACCCTGCAATAGACATACATGAGAAGCAATGAGAGAGTCTTTTTGTGATTTCCTAGCGTTGGAAATGCTGGACCATGAGATATGAATATACTGAATTTCTTACTTTGCCTAAAAATGGTAGATTGCTTCCCACAGTGTCTGTAACTGTCCTCACTGTCACCATAGAGCATGAGAGTACAGATATCTCCGTGTTCAACCAGTGCTGGCTATACCCAGCCTTCTGAGTTTTTTCTAGTATGATAGGCAGATAGGCATCTCATTGTTATTTTAATTTGAATTTGCCTGATTATTTATGAGCTTTGAATATCCTTTATATAATTAGCCTTTTGTCTTTATTCTTCTATAGTAAAACCATAGCCTTTGCCTATTTCTCTGTTTGCTGTCTGTTTTCTTGTGGCTTACTTGCATGTACACTCTATCTTCTAGCTTATTGCAGTAGCTTCTCTAGTTCTGTTGGCTGTTTACTCCTCCATAGTGTCCTTCATTTATTAAAGATCTTAAATTCAACTAGAGTATTGATTGGGAATGAAATGAAGTTTTAGAATAGAGAAAACTAACATAGTCATAATACTTACATTATAATCTGGAGCATAGACTGTCTCTCCATTTATTCATATAATCTTAAATATCCTTTGGTCAAATTTTAAAGTTTTCTCCTCTGAGGTTGCTCGCACATCCAGCAATATTTCAGAACCCCTACCCCCCGCCCCTGCCTATTTTTTTTTGAGACAGAGTTTTGCTTTTGTTGCCCAGGCTGGAGTGCAATGGTGTGCGGATCACTGCAACCTCTGCCTTGCAGGTTCAGGTGATTCTCCTGCCTCAGTTTTACTCCCCACTTTCTTTATTTTCTCTTCTATGTTGATTTCTGCCAGTCTTGTTGCCATGTCTCATAATGCAATAATGATCTCTATGGCTTCAGGTGAGTTCTTGCTTTGGATCTATAACTCTGAAGTCGGGGACCCAGTCTCTAGACCTGGGGCTCCAGCAAGTCCTGGCTCATTCACTCTCGGAATAACTATTCACATTCCAATTAGTGTTTCTCATTAGTATCCTAGATATTGGACATCAGAGGGAAGAGAAAGGGTGAAATAGATGTTCCTTACTGCTGAATTATAGGAGCAAAATACGTTTCTTCCTCCAGAAGGTGTTATTTTTGGTTGGGAAGATTTGAATATGAAGTATGTATTAGAAATAATTAGTTGTAATTAGATCTTGTGTGTATGTAAGGAAATGTCCAAACTTATTAGAGAGGTGCTCTGAAGTATGTAGGAGTGAATAACATGATGTCTGAGACCTGTGTTAATATACTTCATCCAAGAAAAAAGAGAAATAAAAGAATAGAGGGAGGAAATGTGGCAAAACATTACAATTTATTGAATACACGATAGGTATATGGGATATATTATTGTCTCTACTTTTATGTATGTTTGAAAATTTTCATAACAAAAAAACCCTTAAAACTGAGCTCTTGTTTACTTCTAAAAATAAAAAATAAAAGTGTCTTTACTTACACATGCTCCATCATACAGTTTAGTTATATTAAGCCCTTCAAATCTGAAAGAAATTATATTTTGAAATTATTTTTTGCTATATGGTAAGTAATAAATTATGACTAAATTTTACGTGATAATCTTTGGCTAAGTTTGGGAAATAAACATTTAAAAATATCTACTATATGAATTTTTATTTGTCAAAGAGATTGAATCTGTAAAACATGCTCAGCCTACAATAAAATATAGAAATTCAAAATAGCCTTTGAAAATTCAAGTAGAAATACAGAGGATTAAAAAGAGAATGTGTCTTAAAGTTAAAATATGCATTGGATGAAAGCTGAAACATTACTACTGACCTTAAAGAAACACAAAGGATTATATGAACAATTGTATGTCAACAGATTAGATATTCTGGATGAAATGAATAAATTCCTAGAAACACACAAATTATCAAAACTTAATAAGAAATAAAAAAATCTCAACAGACCTATGACAAGTAAAGATATTGAATAAGTAATCGAAAATGTCCCACCAAAGACCAGATGACTTTACTACTCAATTCTACCATTTCTTTTTTTTTTTTTTTTTTGAGACAGAGCTTTGCCTTCGTTGTCCAGGCTGGAGTGCTGTGGCACGATTTCGGCTCACTGCAACCTCTGCCTCCCAGGTTCAAGCGATTCTCCTGCCTCAGCCTCCTGAGTAGTTGGGATTACAGGCACACACCATCACGCTCAGCTAATTGCTTGTATTTTTAGTAAAGACTGAGTTTCATCATGTTGTCCAGGCTGGCCTTGAACCTCAGGAGTGATCCACCTGCCTTGGCCTCCCAAAGTGCAAGGATTACAGGCATGAGCCACCACACCCAGACTACCAAATATATATATATATATATATATTTTTTTTTTTTTTGAGACGGAGTTTCACTCATGTTACCCAGGTTGGAGTGCAATGGCGCGATCTCGGCTCACCGCAACCTCTGCCTCCTGGGTTCAGGCAATTCTCCTGCCTCAGCCTCCTGAGTAGCTGGGATTACAGGCACACACCACCATGCCCAGCTAATTTTTTGTATTTTTAGTAGAGACGGGGTTTCACCATGTTGACCAGGATGGTCTCGATCTCTTGACCTCGTGATCCACCCGCCTTGGCCTCCCAAAGTGCTGGCATTACAGGCTTGAGCCACTGCGCCCGGCCTCAAATATTTTTTAAAAATGTTTAAAAATGCTAAAAAAATGTAATACTAATCTTTCTTAAACTCTTCCAAATAATACAAGAGGAGGGAACCCTTGCTACTTCATTCTATGAAGCCAGCATTACTATGTTATCAAAGACAAAGACATCACATAAAAGAAAATATAGACCAATATCGTTTATGAATATAGATGCAAAAATTCTCAGCAAAATACCAACAAATGGAATCCAATGGCATATTAAAAGGATTATACAGCATGACAAATGGGCTTTATCCTAAGAATTCAGAAGGGTTCAAAAAAATCAGCCAATTTAATAATATCACATTAATAGAATGACAGAAAAGCACCAGATAATTGTCATTATTTGACCTGTCAGGGTGGTTCTCTGAAAGACCCATTTGCAAGGCTTTTATTTGATCTGACTCAAAACTCTCCTGGTACAAACAGCCTTTTCTAGAATTTGTTGAAAAAATCAGAGGCAATTGTTTTAATATCATGGCTACTGCATGGCGGGTAATGGTTATGTAAAACAATAGGTTAACAAAGAGCTTAAAAGTAAAAGTTAGGTAATGAGATGTCCATAGGAGGTTTTGAAAAGCTCTCATATGTTACTGGAAATATAGAGGAAGGGGGGAGAGACCTAATTCTGATTACTCCTGTGTTTTTGCTTTTCTCTCTTTTTCTCTCTTAAGATACTGCACTCAACCTGTAAGCCTTAGTTAGACAAAAGTGTGGCTTTTCTCTTTAAAGGAGAAAGCAGATGTCAGAGACTCCTCCACCTCCTTTTTTTTTTTTTTTTTTTTTGACAGAGTTTTGCTGTCACCCAGGCTGGAGTGCAGTGGTACAATCTCAGCTCATTGCAACCTCTACCTCCTGGGTTCAAGCGATTCTCCTGCCTCAGTCTTCTGAGTAGCTGGGATTACAGGCACTCGTGACCACACCTGGCTAATTTTTTGTATTTTTCGCAGGCACAGGATTTCACTATGTTGGTCAGGCTGGTCTCAAACTTCTGACCTCGTGATCTGCTGCCTCGGCCTCCCAAAGTGCTGGGATTACAGGTGTGAGCCACCTCGACTGGCCTTCCTCCTCCTACTCCTAAAAGGAGTTTCCTTGATACAAACCCTGCTCCTCACTATTCCCCTTGGGCTCAACCATCGGGCATTTCACTTGGGTGTTACTCAAAGCTTCTAACATGTGATGGGTGCAGAGACTAAACCACATAGTAAGCTGAAAGCTAAAGAAAATTGTTTTGGAAAATGACATCCATTCTAGGACCAATAAACTATTAGCTGGAAAGATTCTTCACCCAGCTTCCTCTTCCTCTTTTTTTGTTCTTTGTTCTTTGGCCTGAGGGGTCATGAGGATGACCTTCATCTAGGGTCACGTGATCTAAATGCTGTGGCTGCTTGCTGCCGAGTGCCTCCACTTGATGCTTGTCCAGGCCAGACACAGTGCCCTCACCTTAGTGGATTTCTGTTTCTGCACTGTCTGAATAGGATCCATGTACTTTTTGAGGGCACAGAGAGGGATGGAAGAAAGGGAGGAACAAATCCTGGAGGACTGTCTGGAGAGAGGATCTCACTGGATGATGTAGGAAGTGGGCTGAGGTCATCACCCTCTTTTGGCCACCTTTGGCCTCTTGACTTGAGAGAAGGGAGAACAAAATGAGGACTTACAGAATTTTGGAGCAGAGATGGCACTCACCACTGTAGGTAACCTGGTCACTGCCACAAATAGGTCCACTGGGCTTCATGTAGGATAAAAACCAGCAGTTATTTATATTCTTGAGGCACTCAACCTGAAGGAGACACACACAACTGCTTTAGGCACTTTCATCCAGGTCTTTTGGCCATTATGATGGGTAGCTGGGGAGGTGGATGGAATAGGAGCACCAGACCAGGAGTTCAGAGAACAGGATTCAGAAGCCTCAGGATTTGAACCCAACAGTAATACCAACAACATGTATATAATTGTAGAATAATATACAATCTGTAAACTCTATAGTCCCCCATAAATTCTTTATTAAGATAAAAATCCCTGCGCTCTGCAACCTAACAATCACATTTTTGTACCAACCACAAAATGTGGCTGTTAGGTTACAGAGAGCAAAAGTAGGGAAATGTCTTTCCAGGTTAAAATTTCTGATGAACATTACTGAGTGTCTTATCATACCTGGTGTCTCAGATGGCAGGGGCTCAAACTTGTCACAGCAGGTTGAAGGAGTTGAAGGAAGGAGACTGAGAAAATACCTCATAAGGCCTTGGTGTAGGGGAGGTAGGTGTATGCATGCCTGGCATATCATGGTGGAAAGAGTATCCACTGTGGCATAGGACCCACTTGAATTTGAGCCACGACATCCTCCTCCATTTATTGGTGCAAAATATTTGCTTTCTACCCCACAGGTGAGTTATGTAAACTGATTGGGAGAATCCTTGAGAAGAAGGAACAGGAACATATAAAATGTGCTACGTACACTTGGTGACTCAGCTTTTATTGATGTGTTATTCCCACACGAGCCCCCTCTACTGCCCACCTCCCAGAAGAAAGAGCTGGGGCTGCTGAAGAAACTGGCTCTCTCCCCATTCCTGTTCTTGGAAACCAAGGAAGCAGTACTCACTGTTGTTTTGTCTGGCTGAGCTCTTTCAGAGGCCATAGGAAGGGGGAAGCCTGGAAGACAAAAGCATATACGGAAAAGTTGATTCTCTGTCTTCTCCCCTCAGGGAAAAAGGTAAGGTGAGGGGAATCCTGGTTGGCACACAGGAAGCATCAAATGCCATCAGAAGAGGCTGGGCTCCTCTTTGATGCAAGCTGCCCTCTAAAGGAACAAAGAAGCAGGAAGTACCTGCCTTTATACATCTTGTAAAATGGAGATCTTAATTCTAGCCCTCCCATTTCATAAGTAACAACTTCTATAATCCATGTCAGTTATTTTTAGTAAACATGCTCTAAGTTACAAATTACCGTGAGTTATTACATTGAGATGCCCTAAAACATGCTGAGTTTCATTAAGGCTTACATATTCAATCAAAGTAGTCTTTGCAATTATATATGTGTATAAAAGTATATATTATAATTGCATGATATAATTTTTATAATATATAATATGTATGATATATAATCAACTCTCATATGTATCAGCTTTCTTGAGTATAATTCACATATCATAGAATTTTACCAGATTAAAAAAAAAATGTTTTGACCAGCTTGGTCAACATGGTGAAACCCTGTCTCTACTGAAAATACAAAAATTAGGCTCACTGAAGCTTCAACCACCTGGGCTCAAGTAATCCTCCTGCTTCAGCCTCCCCAAGTGACTGGGACTACAGTAGTGCACCACCACACCTGACTCATTTTCTTGATATTTGGTGGAGCTGAGATCTCACTGTTGTACAGGTTGGTCTCAAACTTTAAGCAGTTCTCCCACTTGACCCCCCAATGTGCTGGGATTACAGATGTGAGCCACCGTGCCCAGGTGAGTTTACCCATTTATACCAACACATAGAAGATGAGCATTTTTTGCTTTTTAAATAATTCACCTGAAGTGTACAGTTTAATGGTTTTTAGTATATTCACAGTTATGCCATCATCACCCCAAAAATAAACCCTGTAACCATTAGCAGTCATTTGTCATGCCCCTCTCCCAACAATTTTCTCTCCTGACACACCCTCGCCCCCGAAAAACAATAATCTACCTTCTGGGTTCTTTTTTTTTTTTTTCAGACAGAGTCTCACTCTGTCACCCAGGCTGGAGTGCAGTGGCACCATGATCTCGGCTCATTGCAACCTCTGCCTCTTGGGTTCAAGTGATTCTGTCTCAGCCTCCCAAGTAGTTGGGATTACAGGCGCACACCACCACACCCAGCTAATTTTTGTATTTTTAGTAGAGATGGGTTTCACTGTGTTGGCCAGGCTGGTCTCAAACTCCTGACCTCAGGTGACCCACCCACCTTGGCCTCCCAAAGTTCTGGGATTACAGGCACGAGCCACTGCTCCCAGCATCAACTTTCTGTTTCTTTAGATTTGCCTTTCTGGACATTTTGTATAATTGGAGTCACGCAATGAAGTATGTGGTTTTTTGTGTGTCTGTATTTTAATGTTTTAACTATTGTAGTGTTGTATTGGACCGAGCGTAGAAAGTTAGCACCAAGACAAAAGTATGCCAGATTGCAGGGTCATTTATTATGCCGGCAACTACAGAGGACTCACGTCTCTCCAACTTGTGGTGTCAAAAGGAGGGTGCCACGACTTTTTATACCGGAAAAATCACCTTGGGTGTGGGGGTGAGGAGCAGGGATGGGGATGAAAAGGTTTTGGACATTCCAAGGGCTTGGGGATTCTGTGATTCACCTCCTGGGCGGAGACAAGGGCAGGGGTCTCCGGACAATCCAAGGTCCAGGGGATTCTGTAATTCACCTCCTGGGTGGAGACAAGGGCGGGGGTCTCCGGACATTCCAAGGGCCAGGGGACTTTTGTCATTCTGCTTGTTACTTCAATGGTTTACAGAAGTCAAGATATACATTTGTTTACACATCATCTGGGTGGTGATAGAAGTCACAGATTTTAGCAGTTACTGATAAGAAAAGGTAAGCAGCTTTACATAGTTTTGCAGAACAAACTAGCAGTTCTATTTACAGAGGCCAAGGACAGTCGTTATTGTGAGGAGAATGGGGCAGCCATTTCAACTTATTTAAAAAACAGTTTTGCATTTTATAAAATAGCGTTGCTCAGGTTCTGGCTCTAGGCCAGCACAATATCACAGTAGCTTATATTAGTACTTCATTCCTTTTTATAGCTAAATAATATTCAATGTATGTATATTACACATTTTATTTATCCATTAATCAGTTAATGGACATTTGAGTTGCTTTACTTTTTTGCTCTTATTAATAAAGCTGCTATGGATATTTATGCACACATTATTTTTGGGCATGTGTTTGCATTTCCCTTGAGTTTATACAAAGTGTGGAATTGCCAGTCATATTCAAACCACTTAAGAAGCTGCCAGGCTATTTTCCAAAGCAGCTGCACTTTACATTCCCATCAGCAATGCACAAGGGAAGGCTTCAATTTCTTCACATCTTTGCTAACGTTTGTTATTGTCTCTCTTTTTGGTTATAGCCATCCTAGTAGGTGTGAAGTAGTATCTCTGTTTTGTTTTGTTTTGTTTTGAGACAGAGTCTCGCTGTGTCACACAGGCTGGAGTGTAGTGGTGTGATCTCTGCTTACTGCCACCTTCACTTCCTGGGTATAAGCAATTTTCGTGTTTCAGCCACCTGAGTACCTGGGATTACAGGCGTGCATCACTAACCCTGGCTAATTTTTGTATTTTTAGTACCTCAGGTGATCTTCCTGCCTAAGCCTCCTGAAGTGCTGGAATTACAGGCTTGAGCCACCACTCTTGGCCATATTAATATCTTTATTGGTATTATTTGAATCACAAAAGTTTTTAAAAGTCCAATTGATCTTTTTGTTGTTGTTTCTTTCTGCCTTTGGTGCATCATTAAGAAGACTTTGCCTAATTCAAGGTCACAAAATTCACTCGTACTGATTTCTTCTAATAGTTTTATAATCTTAGCTCTTACATTTAGTTCTGTGATCCATGTTGAGGTATTGTAATTTTTTCCTATGGCATGAGGAAAAGGTCCAAAGTTACTCTTTTGTATATAGATATCCAGTTGTCCTAGGAGCATTTGTTTAAAAAGATTATTATCCACTAAATTGTCTTGAGACCTTGTTAAAATCAATTCACTCCAAATGTAAGGTGTCTTCCCCTGGATTCTTATATTTTGTTGATCTTTATTTCTTTTTCTTTTTCATAAAATTTGTATTTCTATGCTCATGCTAGTACCAAACTCTCTTGATGTCTGTAGCTTTGTAGTGAGCTTTGAAATTGAAAAGTGTACTTCCACTTTGTTTTTTTTTTCAAGATTGTTTTGTCTATTGTCAGTCTTTTGCTTTTCCATATGAATTTTAGGATCAGCTTTTCCATTTCTGTAGAAAAAAGTCAGCTGGGATTTTGATAGTATTTGCGTGGAATCTGTGGATTGACTTCTAGAGTATTGCTATCTTAACAATGTTAAGTTTTCCAGTCCAGCATGAAGATGGGATATCTTTATGTTGGTTTAGGTCTTCTTTAATTTCTTCTTCTTCTTTTTTTTTTTTTTTTTTTTAAACAGCTCTGGACATGGAAGTTCTTCTTTAATTTCTTTCATCAATGTTTTGTAGTTTTCAGTGTACAGGTTTTTCATCTCCTTTGGTAAATTATCCTTAGGGATTTTATTCTTTTTGATGCTATTGTAGGTGAAATTGTTTCCTTAATTTCATTTTCAGAATGTTCATTAGTAGTATGTAGAAATACAAATGATTTTTGTATATTGCTCTTATATCCTGCAAACTTGCTGTTAACCCTAACAGTTTTTAGAGTATTCCTTAGGACTTTCTATGCACAAAATTATGTCATCTTACAGTTGAACACCTTATATTTGGAGTGAATTGATTTTAACAAGGTCTCAAGACAATTCAGTGGATAACAATCTTTTTAAACAAATGCTCCTAGGACAACTGGATATCTATATACAAAAGAATAAATTTGGACCTTTTCCTCAAACAGAGATCATTTTACTTCTTCCAATCCTATCTAGATAACTTTTATTCATTATCTTGCCTAATTACCCTGGCTAGAATCTCCAGTACAAAATTAAACAGCAATGGTGAGAGCAATGTTGCTCCTATTCACCTTCTTTGTGCTGTTATTGTCAGATATATTACATTTCTCTATGTTCTCTAACATGTAGAACATATAGAAATACATTCAAAGAGCCGGGCTCGATGGCTCACGCCTGTAATCCCAGCAATTTGGGAGGCCGAGGCAGGTGGATCATGAGGTCAAGAGATCGA